ATAAAAAGAAGGAAAACTATTCCCAACTAGTTCTTATACATGATGGATTTTAGTACAGAAAAGATTTAAAATGCATAATAATCCTTTCTCCTTGTCCTAATAGTTTCCATAAATAGGTCTGGTAAAGAAGTTTTTAAAAAAATATATAGAAGACCTCTAACTAAAACCCATTAGATAGCAATTAGCTAGAGGGCACAGGCCATTTTCAGTTGTTCAACAGCAAGTTATTCATTTTATGGATTAACCATCGTCTTTCTCCTACCACTTTCTTGTTTTATGGCTCCCTGCCTCTCCTCCTTGGCCTGTACCTGCTCATTAACATGTGAAGATAAGAGACTCAAAGCACAGAGTTCTGAGGTAGAACTAAATCAAGCACTTTGCACATTAACAGTCTTTCTGGGGCTTAACTCAGAGAAAGGAAAGAGCTCAGTGTGTTTCTTTGGGTTTCACATTGCAAAATGAAATAGCCTCCTTTCAGGAGTTAGGTTGACTATTCATGAACTTGTTTCAGCTGGGGATTTCCTCTGAGATCACAAATTCTTACCTTTGTACGTATCAGATGAGGAAACGAGAGTCCAGATAAGGCAGGCACCACGCACAGGGTGCCCCACTTACAGAACATCAGAGCCGAGGTGGAAACATGAGCTTTGCCACAGCCTCAATCCACACTTTTCAGGCCTGGCTATAATTCTATCCAGGCTCATTTTTCCAACTATGTTGTATTTCTCCCAGTTTTCACTATCCTGAGGAAATAAGTGACTTCATATAAAAACAATTATAATAATAATTACAATAAGATTAATTTATATATATAAATAAACATTTTGCTTGTCCGCCCTCCCACATTCTTTATCACTTATACACCGGGCTTCCAACCTAATAATAGAAATCCAACAGTTTGATTTTTCCAAGAATATTTACTAGAGATAAAAGTACTTGACTCTTTTTGAAACATAATGTGAGATAAGAAAAGTAATGCAAGAAAGAAAAAAATAGAGAAGGATCAAGGGCTTTTAATTTTGTTCTAATGACTCAATTCTCCTTCAAGGATATATTTCAATAGTAGCATTGGACATGGTTGTTATCATAGAATGTTTAGTGATTCTCAGGAAATTCTGCAATATACAATCATGACTTCTTTGTTTATTTATCCAAACTATGTTCCTTGATGATACTCTAAACTGACATTATTATACACTTTGTTCATATGAGTCTTCAGCTCCAAAATAAAATTAGCTTCTCAAACCTTGGCCATTGGTTTAGTGCTCCTTTAGTGTATACATGTAATAATTCAATATAAAAATAAGTACCTACAAAATTCAAGAAAGAAAAATGATTTACTGCAACATATGTTTCAAATTATGCAAGGAAATATATACTATATTCATAGATTATCCAGGACTTTAATGATAAAACATTTCTAATACTTTTCTTATTTCATTCATCCATGAACTCCTTGTGTTGTTCAAAAATTTTGATCATTAAACTCACTTGTATCTGTTTCTCTAAATTTTTTGCATATAAAATCTTTAAACTTGTCTTCAGCCCTCAGTTTAATTAATAGACAGTTCTTCAGACATTGTGCCCTTAATAACTAACAGTCAGGTAATTCTTGTTATATATGCTGAAAATATGAATAAAATGAAAATAACAGATATGCTTCATTTTGAATAATGATAAATTAATTATAAAATATAAGTTTTAATATCTGATAAGAAGCCAAAGGATATTTGTGCACTAAAGAAAACTATTTTTATGATAAATATTTTTTGTACAGTTTCTTTAAAAAGATGTGACATTAGTTGAATTTTTCTTGATTTCTTAAGCTATTTTAAGATATAGATATGTTAGATAATCATTTTGAATAAAAATAAAATTATGTAGGTAAGAACTTTAAATAAGTAGGAAATTTTCAAAGAAAGTTTCTCCCTACATTTGTTCTTTATCAATGCTTTTTGTTTGAAGAAATATGCAAAAGCACTAGAAAAGGTACTCCATTATGTGACAACACAATGCATAGCTTTACTTACATACGTGACTTTGCAGAATCAACTTAAAGATCAAATTCTTCAACTTCACACATCCAATGCAAAAAAACTGAAAAAGCCATTCTTTGGATAAGTGAAAAAAAATTCTTTCACTTAAATTAACTAGCTTAGTTGATAAGAATTTTCAGGTTACTAATTCAATTATTGTCTTTGCCACATCTTTGAAATGAAGAACTGAATTGGGTAATAGGATTTTGTAATCAAGATACTAAAAAGATTGGTTGAATTGAGCCAGGTAATTCCAGCTCTTTAAATTAATTAAGTTGAATATTTGAAGTTAAATGGTCAAAGAAAAGGGAAAATCAATTATGTCAAATGCTAGCTATTGGTCAAGTGAGATGAAAGCTAAGAACTGAACATTTGGATTTAGCAACATGAAAGTCATTGATGACTCTTTCAAGTAGATTTTAAGTGCTCTGAAGGAGGTCAAAGTTCTGACTAAAGTAAGAAGAGAAAATTGTGCAGAGGAGAAACAAATATTAACAACTCTTTAAAGGAGTTTCAATAGTCAACAGCACAAGAATATAAAGCAGTGCTTTGAAGAGAACAGAATCTAGAGATTTGTTTGTTTGTGCTATAGTTTGGATCTTGAATGTCCACTAAAGACACATACGTTAAATTCTTGGTTCCCATTGTAGAATTATGCATCGTGATGGTGTCTTTGGAGCCAGGGTCTAGTGGGAGGTCTGTGGGTCACTAGGAGACTGCCCCCTGAAAACGACTGTGGGACCCTGGTCCTTTCCTCATCTTTTCTTTAGTGCCAGGTAGTAAGGCATGAGGTTCTTGTTCCACAACATAGTCCCACCATGTGCTGCTGCCGTAATGTGCCGCCTCACCACAATCCCTAAGCATTAGGGCCAACTGGTCGTGGACTACCACTCCTAAAACCAAGGGCCAAAACAAACCTTTTCTGTTTGTAAATTAATTTTCTCAAGTATTTTGTCATAGTAGTAGAAAGCTGACTAACACAGTGTAAGATGTAATGAATACATTTTGTATGCTGATGAGAGTGATCCAACAGAGAACAAAAACTGATGGTGTGATAGAGACAAGGGAGAGAAATAGCTGTGTTGGGTTTTCCTTAGTGGCATAAGCTGGTGCAGTGCGGGGACCCTAAATGGAGCAACATAGGGTGGGAGCTAAAGAAGCCTCTTGTGACTGCTTCTTTTTCCTCAATGATGTCAAGTCTTAGTCTACCCTTGTTACTATAACAAAATACCATAACTGGATAACTTTATTTCCTATAATTCTAGGGACTAAGAAATCCAACATCAAGGACGCAGCAGATTCAGCGACCCTTGTTGAATTCTCACAAGCTGGAAAGAGTAAACAAACTCACTCGTTTATGAGGACATTAATCCTATTCATGAGTTTTTTGCCCTTGTGACCTGATTATTTCTTTAAAATCTCATCTTATTATAATACTATTTTGTCAAAGCACACTGACAGAGGCCAAAGATCTGACCAAAGTAAGAAGAGAAAATTGGACGGAGGGGAAACAAATATTAACAACTCTTTAAAGGAGTTTCAATAGTCAGCGACGCAAGAATATAAAGCAGGGTTTGAAGAGAGCAGAGTCTAGACACACACTCAAGCCATCACATGCAGGAAGGAAGGCTGTCAAACACGTGTAAAGGTAGGGATAGAGACTGGGAAGTTCGAGAAGGGAAAAGGTATAAAACATGAGATGGGGGAAGTGAATGAACCAGGGGTAGCAACTTTCCCAGGTAGGATAAAAGGATTAGCCGTTGCTGTGGCCAAGAATTTAAAGAGAGATCAATTAGTCAAATGATTATTATTAAGTCTGCTAGCCATGGGATAGAAAAAAGAAAATCAGGATCATAAGGAATATTGCAAACTGAATTCCTGAAGGAATAGCAAGAGAGGAAAAAAAGACATTCTATCCAAGGGATGGGTAACATTTCATGAAAAGAAAACATATCTAACAGAAATAAGGAGGTTGAAGGCAAGAGAGAGCTAATTTCATGATGTTTTGGGCTGACTGTATATATGGTCAGTATTTACCATGCTGTGTTTGATTGAATGAGGAGGTATCACCAAGTAGACAGAGTCCCAGAGGTGAATGACAGTGCCACAGGAACATTTTTGAGGAACTTAAAGTTAGAGATATGAAAGAGGATGCATTTTCTCATTACCTACTTCATTGTTGCAAGGATTTAGATAATAGACTGTAATTAATGGACAATAATAAATAATGCCCCATACATAGTGTTTTACACAGAGTAAGCATTCAATACACATTAACTTTTAATATTACTTTTTACTACTATTAAATTGAATGTTAGAGTTTAAACCCAGTTGTTTCCAACTCGAAATGCTGTTTCTCTCCCATGAAATGCTTAAAAGTCATAAAACAAGCCATTAAACCCATTTCACATTTTTACTTTTCTCCCGTTTATCTTTTTTTAAACAAAATCCCCATTTGAAGGGAAACACAGTTCAAAATGTTGTAACAAATAGTAAAGGCGCTAATTGGAATTCTGATTATTCAATCTATAGTGGATAAAATCACATATGAACAGGTTGAAATCAGCTATCATCTCTTACACAAATGTATTTTGTCTCTGATACTATATAGCTCTTCGGGGAGGGATGCAGGAGGACAGACACATCGACATGACATAGTCAAGACCACCAGAGCTCCATTCTACCAGCCAGGTGAGGGATTTCTCAATAACTCACATGAGCCATGGTGGGCAATGAATTTTCCATCAGTTACATAACATTGTGTCTTCCGTGATCATCTTCAGAAGCGATGCAGGCAGCACAATGTTTCTTGTTTTGAGTTCCTCTAATTGGGCACTAAGCATTGAGCAATTGTTCATAAAAGGCATGAAATTGGGAATTTGTGATGCCCGAGCCAGCTGTGACATCACAATGTAACACTCTCGGCATGGGCAGCTCTGGCTCCTTGCTCGCTGCACCCTCCAGCTGTCTTCTGTCCACAGCCAGCACCTCGGCCAGGGTCCACTGCTGTTCTGCTGGGGCTTCTCCACTCCTGCTGGGAGGCCTGCCTTTGGAAACAATCCTACCAGGTTCTGAATTCCTGTGTCGTTTGTCCCTACCCCCTCCGGGGCTGAGGCTTGCCTGACAGACATCTTTGGTTTAACATGGAGGTACTGTTTCACTTGCTAATATATGGGAAACACATGGACTTCAATACATTTGCCAAACAGATCATAGTTTGCTTCATCATGGTGTATGCATGTGTAATTTTATTCAAATAGCAACCCACCTGCATGTAATGAATTGCTACTTTTGCCTTAGTCTTTTTTTTTTAAATAAGCTTACTGTTTATGCATAAGTATTTCAGCATCCATGTGTAAAACACTTTTACCATAGTAAAAGCCTCCCTGGCATCTAGAGGAATGCAAAGCCTCTCTAGACACTCAAAGTCCTGAAAAATACAGTCACTGTTTTCTATTCCTGTACGCCATCAGGTCAGAAATGTAGACCATTTCTATAGGAGTCTATTTTATTATTGTTATCTGCAAATAATGAGGAGGAAGATGTGATAACAATGAGAAACAGAGTAAATGACCAGCCTAATCACTTCTAAAACTTATGGTAAAATCTCACTCATACTATTAATTCTTTTCCTTTCCTGAGAAGTGACATTTTTGTTTCCCTATGTGGTCGCTATGTTTGAGCACAACCTCTATTCTTATATCCTAATATTTCCTTCTCTCCTAATCCATGCAAATTTCTAAATTTCTAAATTTCTAAATAAAACTAACATCACAGATAGTAAAATGAAGATGTATGTTAGCATCCACGATACTCTACAAAAGCATGATCGTAACATGCATTCATAGTACTTCAAAGCTGACAAAGCTGACAAAGCAGTATACGTCCTGCCATGTTTATGGCTGATAGCCACACCAACTCAAGAAATATGCTCAGTTTACAAGTGACAAAACAATCTTCTCACATTATAGGTAGTATTATGTAGAACTCTATGTAATAAATAATACTAGACCATTTCTGACCTGAAATTTCATAGGGTTCAAGTTGGTAAGTGATAGCTAGGACTCTAGTTTAGGGTTCTTATACTTCCATGATTGGATTGTTAATATAGGTAGTTTTTTCTAATATTGTAATAAAGATAGTGATTAGATCACCACTAAAAATTCACTTAAGATGATATTTACAGCAATGTGATACATCCCTCAGGCTTAAAATGATCTTGATTACATAGTCATAAGGTAAGCTTTACATACTCATCCAAGTAAACAGAAAAAAGGAGTAAAAAAATATTATGACCATAGATAGGTTTCATAAAACAGTCCCAAATTCTAAGTTTAAGTATGCTGCAAACAGAAATTTCATGACTCACTTTGTCACAGATATAGCAGCTACATAACAGATTTTAGGCTCCTAGAACTGAGTAGAACATTTTTATTGTGTGAGAGCAAAGAAAGTCACTAAATTTCTAAAACTAGAGTTTGTTCATTCATTTTATGTTGGCCTTCCAATATCTGCTTCTTATACCTTTACTAGTAGAAAGTAATAAAATAAATAATTTTACTTAAATTCTTAAGTTATGTCACTGCTTTATGAATGCATTTATAGTCCTTGTTCATTATTATTCACATATCAACTTAAAAATAGGTAGACACATACACATACTCATTAGAAAACTAAAAATTCATAAACAAGAAACACAAATATGACAATACTCACAAAGTATACTACTAGTTTAGTCTGGGCTGTGGTGATAATGGTAAAGCCTTAATTCACGTTATATCATTACCATTTCTAGAAGAAAAGAATATCTTTTTACAGATATTGCAAAGTAGTAGTTTTAAGTAAAATGATAACACATCAATACACTAATTTATTCTATATGAACAAAAAAGGACATTCATAATTTAAATAATTTATTAATTTAATAATGAAAAAATAAAATTCAATGGAGCCTTAAGACCATTTTTATTTGTCGTTTTGTTTTGTTTTATTTTTGGTACCGGGGATCAAACTCACAACCTTGCACTTACAAGTCAAGTGCTTGAGCCACTGAGCTGAATCCCTGGACCCGCTAAGACCTTTTTTTAAAAAAAAAATCACTCTGCTAATATTAAAATCGAAGACAAAGTTAGAAAATAGACTATCCCTACTCTCATTTTACATTTGAGACATCACAGCCAACAGGCTTATTTCAATGAAACACTAATGAAAAATTAAGTAAAGGGTCAGTCTTTCTTGTGTCTGTCTGTGTGTCTGTCTGTCTGTCTGTCTCTTTCTCTCTCTCTCTTTCTCCCCCTCTCTCTGTCTCTCTCTCTCTCCCCTTTTCCCTTCATCCCAAAGACCCAGAGAGAAAGTGTTTTGCAAACAAGATTTCTGTATGTCAAGTATCACCAACAGAAGTCCCAAGCATTTCATTATGAAATATACAAGAGTCCTGGATGGAATACTAATATCACTCCTATGAATGAACAACCAAGCTTGGAGAAAAGATGAGAATGTTTGTCCTGGGCATATCTATGAATTTCAGCAGATCTTATGCTTTGGTTTTCAGGTCTGAATAAGATCTGAAATGAGAGCTCAGAAAGGCTGTAACATCAGTGACAGTGTACAACAAGACAGACAGGAAGCCATTTCATAGAGGTGGAGAAGGAAACTTACTCTCCCACTTTGATTCTAAATGGAGGTGAAAGAAGAAAGACATCTAAAAGTACAGAGCCAGCGGATATAGGTGAGTCCAAAAACCTATGTGACTTTAGAATCTGAAGCATTAATGTTTAATGTTCGCAGGCCACAAGTTAATTTTGTTTTTTATTGAATACACACAAAGAGAAAACACTAGTGAACACATTGGTGAGTTTTTGCAAACTAAACACACCAATATCAAGAATTAGCGCACTAGTGGCAAGCTGAGAGCCTGTGCATGGGCATTTCTAACCATTATACCTCTCGAGAAGAAACTATTACCCCTACTTTCCCCGCAAAGATTAGCTTTACTTTACAAACTTAGGATCAGTGGAATCATGCAGTATTTATTCTCTAACATCTGGCTTCTTTTTCCACACTGTTTAATTCATTCCAATTGCTTGTATTTGTTCTCATTGCTCTGTAGATTTTTCTTGAGTAAATTTTGTAACCATTCTACTACTGACTGACTTTGTGTAGTTCCTAGATTGGGCCTATTGTGATCAATGTTGTTATGTTTTTGAAGTGTATTTGTGTGCTTCTCTCTTCTACCTGTCAGACGCATAGGTAGTTTTGTAGTTAGCGGTCACGCTGACTTACACTCACACCAACAAGGTATGATGTCGGTGTCACTCCCGGCCGGCAGGAAGGACACACAACAAAGTCTGGCAGTGGACAACCTTTTCTTTTATTTTCCTTCTCCGTACAGCCTGCCCCGGGAATCCTCCCGGCCGAAGCCTCTGTTGGTCCGCTCCCCGCGGCTCCTTGCGTGCTTCTCCCTACAGTCTGTCCCGAAGCCTCTACCGGTCCGCTCTCCGCGGCTCCTTGCGTGCTTCTTCCTACAGTCTGTCCCGAAGCCTCTACCGGTCCGCTCTCCGCGGCTCCTTGCGTGCTTCTTCTGCTTCTTTTTTCGTGGCGGGAGAGGCATTCACTTTTATAGGGTTACAGTGGCCAATCAGTTCAAAGCGCACGATGCGGGCTGATTGGCTAACATCAGTTGTTGCTAGGCAGACTATCTTACAGGGCGGGTTGTGAAGCAGGAGATACAGGGCGGGTTGTTTACCAAGCAGGAAGCAGGAGATCTTACAGGGCGGGTTGTTTACCAAGCAGGAAGCAGGAGATCTTACAGGGCGGGTTGTTTACCAAGCAGGAAGCAGGAGATAAGCGCCATCTTAGCACACTCGATGGGAGGGGTAATCTAGCTCAGGCTTTGCTCTTTCCTACAGGCCTCACGTCCGCCAAGTAAGGCGACCGGGCTCGGCCGCGGCTCCCAACAGTATGAGAGCATTCTGATTGCTCCACAGCCTTGCCAGGGCCAAGTATTTCCCATCTGGCCTATGTTAACTATTTTGGTAATCATCTGACATTGTACATTTAAACAGTAATCCTGCCTGATAGTACATCCAGATAGCTGGCAGAAGCCTGTCAAAGATTCCCTGGAAAACTGTGCTCTCAAGTCAAGCAAATAGCCGGAAAAAAATCTCCAAGAACTATTTTTATGTCAGATAAAGTACTTTATAAGGCAAAAACCATTTTCAGAAAAAAGAAGAATACTGTATTAGGAACAAAGCAATATACATAAATTGGCACTTTGACAAGCAGAAGAAACCAGCCTTGATGAGCGACATTTGCTAATTTCCATGAAGTAAATATTACCACCACGGTCAATTTCAAGCTGCCAAGGTGAAGTCACTGAACATAGAATTAGGAAAAGATGTGTAAAATCCACCCCTGTGAGCATACTCCAGATCACCGCTGATGGAAATTTCACGATATCAGCAGGTATCATATAGAAATGCTAGTCTTCAATATACTTCGTAGTTAAGCATGAAGAAAACTATGCAGAGTTGGCAAGCTTACCATCTTAACATTTGTAATATACTACTCTTGGTGAAAGTAAAAATAAAACAATAAATGTATAGAAGACTCTAATAGACATATAAGGATAGCTGCACCTAACAATTATGGAGTTACATTCATTTCAGACACGTACAAAAATTGGTTCCTAAAGCAAACTGCAAAAAAACTATGTACATTTTCTAACTATAATTCATTAAAGATAAAAACTAGTCACAACAACAAAGGTTTGAAATTCACAAGCATTTGGAAATTGAGAACTGATACAATTTCTTCTGAATGGTTCCTCGCATTTTATGAGAATAAGGTTGCTAATTGTCTTGTCAGAAACTTACCTTCGGGGCTGGGGATTTAGCTCAGCGGCATAAGCGACTGTCTTGCAAGCAGGCAGTCGTGAGTTCAATCTCTGGTACCGATAAAAGGGAAAAAGACAAAAAAAAAAAAAAAAAAGAAACTTAGCTTCATTGATTAGTATGTAAATCTGTTGCATGACATAAGCAAAATACTGGATCAACCTATAATTTCTGTGTTTTTTACATGGGGATTCATATGTTTAATACATATCAATATTTTCCAAAATGAAATGCAAATTTATATTTTGACCTAGAAGTCTTGGCATTGTTTAATAAAAAGAGAATGAAAACAAGCATATAACATTAAATAAAGCAGATCTTTCTGTCTCATCCAACCACATACACTTCCTCCACATCCTTTCCATTACTGTAGTTCCAAATGATCTTATGTTCTCTGATGTTTTCTATGAATTGTTTTACCATCACAGACTTTCTTGACAGATTAAACTGCATACTTAAGTCCTACTTAACAGAGATGATCCTCAACTTTAATCACTGTAAAGTGAAGTTACTATTGTCTGAAAATATTTTCAATTTTTTTCATTTTAATAGTTGTTCATAACCAGGCCCAGTGGCACATGCCTATAATCCCAGGCAGGAGAATTGCAGGTTCTAGGCCAGCCATGCAAGGCCCTGGATTCACTCCCCAGGACATATACCCCAGTAAACACACACACACACACACACACACACACACACACACACACACACGTATTCAGTCACCTTACCTAATAAGATCTATTCATTATTTTCATTTCATTGTTCACAATACTCAAGCTATATAAATTACATGTTGTGTGTCTCTAGCCAATAAAGATATAATGTATCAGCTATTACAAAGCTTACTTTGTAGCAAAGCAATTTTATATATAAACATGTTAAAATATTTACTTAATAAAACATGATATCAAATACCATAAAATACAATTCTTTTCATGAACAAATAATATAGAAAAGTGGCACGTGCATTTTATTAAAGCATATCCCAAATCCATATTTACAAAGAACTAATAAATTGTCTTTGTGCCAGAATACTGGAAAGCCATTTGGTTTCATAATGTATAATCACACAGAATAAAGCTGGAAACCGTCACTTGCTTAGCACAGGTGCAGAAAAGGCTTCCTTTAAAGAACATACGTTACAATAGTCTTTTGAAATATGATCAGCTAACTTTATAACTAAAAATGAAGTGCCCAGAGGAACAAATGATTCATTCTACTCAAAACTGCATTGTGCCCTTGTGACAGTTGTTAAATGGTAGTATAAGCCCTTTAGAGAAAACTGTGAGGGTTGTGCTCCTTTTCCCCCAAAGAGAAAAATCAATTTGCACATAGTGGTTACTCAACTATGACCCATTTGTGTAGCATAATTCCCAAGATATTCAACTCACAAATGGGCCCACTTGGATTGGGTGGTTGGAGTCAGTCTTTTAAAAGTTGAAGAGGGAAGTCCTCTGGGGTTTATGTAAAAGGGAGAGAGACAGATTCTAATCCTTCATAGTACACTGGCTGCCTGCCAAAGTGTTCCAGAGGAATTCAGAAGCGCAGACCCTGGAATGCAGCCCCATCTGGGGAGGTTTTCTAATGGCAGAGGAAGGATCCTGAAGAGCTGCTGCTGCCGCTCCACACATTAAGCCCAGTGACACCGAGACATAGAGTTAACGGTGCGTACCAGCTCCCTGTTTGACCTCAAGACACCCTGCTTTAGACACTGGGAAGAAGAGAAAGGGATGAAAAATGGTTTGCCTATTCCACAGCAACATAAGCAAATGATTTATCTTAATTATTTTTAGATTGCAGTATGTTGCCTCGTATGTCAAACGTACATTAAAGAGCAATTAGTTTAAATGTCAGCATTAAAAGATTCACTACTTAGCATTTCAAAAACAGCAGCAAAAATAATGAAAGCAAGTGTCAGGGTACACCAATTTGAAAAGTTTATATGACTACAGATTCTCCTCTCTGCTTTGCATTTGGAATAAGATTGTCACAAATCTCACCCAGGAAATAGAAACAACAAAATTTGCACATTTACAAACACACACATACACATCGTCACAATTGGAGTCACAGTCATCAATGAATTCAGGCCCGTGAGCCAAATCTGGCCTGCCACCTGTTTTGTGTATAAAGTTTTGTTGGAACGCGCCATATTTATTCATTTACATACTGTAAATGCATTCAGTCTTTAATAGCAGAGTGGAACAGTTGCAACAGGGACCATATGGCCTATACGACCTAAAATGTTTACTCTTTACAGAAAAAAGTAAAGAGTAGAAGAAAGTTCGTCAACCTTCAGCTTGAAAAGTATATATCATTCTACCAGGTGCATCCTCTAAATAAATACCCAAGTGCTGCCGAGAGAAAACTATTTACCGAGACCTATAGGGGCCCACCTGGATATGCTGTAGACTACTGATTAGCAATGAAATGACCCAACAGGGGGATCCATTAAACAACCACAGGGAATAGTGCCAAGCTCTCAGGTAGAGTCAGAAATACAAGCAATGATCAAAAAATACGGTAAATGAATAATCTTTACAATTTTTATTACAATAAAAGACAAGTCCTTAATCCCTCCCTCAAAACTCTCTTCATTGGTTTCAAACACATCCCGTCATGCCATCCACTTTCTCACATATTTTTGGAGGTGGTCTTCCATGGATGTGTTTATATGGTACAGTAAGAGACGGGGTGAATCCTGTTAAGGAGTGCCATCCAGCAAAAACGGCGGGCTCCTAAAGACATTACAATGTATCCTCATGCATTTTCTGTACTGAGTCTAGCACTGTGTGACTTCTGGCTCTTCTCCAAAGTCCAAATGACTGTAAGAGGTACATGTCTTGAATCAATTCACAACATTGAGTTAATAGCAGCAGCGCAACTGAAGACACAAAAATGATGTCCAGAACCGCTTCAGGAACCGGCAAAATGATGACAGAGGTGTGTTCAAAGTGAGGGGAGTACTCTGAGTGGGATTAATGGCAATATGTCTCTTATTACAATATTTCATAATTTAATAACATCCTCTATTTTTCCATCACACCATGTAGTTCCTATTACTGCCAACCATACTGAAAAGCACCATATATCCAAAAGAACAGAGGGGAACAATCAAAAGGGTGTCAAATAAGTGAGAGAGGCATCAGAAGTACTCTCAGTGGGCTTAACCACAGACTGGACATTGCATAAGAAAACATTAATGCATTAAAGGCAAATAAGTTATTGAAATAAAGTCCAGAAAGAATTTGTAAATTAAGTAAAAACGCATCAGTGAATTTGGAGACATCAAAGGTTCTAGTACAGCTTTCATTGGTCCTTGAAGGAGAGAAGAGACAGGAGAAACAAGAGTAACTTAAGAAATAATGATCAATGTATACCTAAATTTAATTAAACTATAAAAACCATAAATCTAAAACCTCAACAGACACCAAGTCCAAGAAACAAGAAGCACACTTTACCAATGTCATCTGTTCTAAGCATTTCTATGCAGCATTGTACCAGAAATATCAGCCAGTACAATAATAAAAAAGCAAACAGAAATAAAATGCACCAGAATTGGAAAGGGAGAAAAGTGTCTACTCACAGATCCCAAATGTGTCTATATGAAAAAATCAATGAAAACTACAAAAACGCTACTGAAACTAGTAAAGAATTTTAGCAAAGTAGGAGGGTTCAAATTAATATAAAAAATCAATTGTATCTCTTAGTAACAAAAAATTGAAAACTGAAATTTAATAAAGTAGTACTACAAACAATAACATCAAAATTATAAGATACCCAAGGATAAATGCTTGTACACTACAAACTGTGATAAACTAGAGGGAGAAACTCAACCCTTTTTTTTTTTTTTTTTTTTTTTTTTTGTCTTTTTCCTTTTTATCGGTACCGGGGATTGAACTCACGACTGCCTGCTTGCTTATGCCTCTGAGCTAAATCCCCAGCCCAAAACTCAACACTTTATGGAAGTTACATGTCCAAGGAAGTATGCTCCTGGCATTATGCTAGATAAGCAAATCAAGGGAAGATAACAGATCCCTTTACAGATTAACAATATTTTGAGAAAAGTTCAAAATCAATTCAGTAAAGAAAAAGTGGTCTATTCACTAAATAATGCAGAAGCAATTAGGTTATTCACATGTAACAAAATAAAATATAATTGACACATTGTACCATATATAAAAATTTAACTCAAAGTAAATCATAGAGAAAAGCATAAAACTTCTAGAAGAAATGTAAGACAAAAATCTTTGTCACTTGAGGCTCAGCAAAAAAATTCTTAGACACAATACACAGTGAAAAAAGCCACAAATTGACCAAAGTGACCACATAAAAATTTACAACTTCTGCTTTTTGGAAGGTACCCATAAGGGAATATAAAGACAAGCTACAGAGTAGGAGAAAATATTTGCAAAGCTTATATCAGAGAAAGGACTTATATCCAGAATATATAAAGAATTCTCATACTGAATTAAGAAAACAAACTGAATTTTTAAAAATTGTACAGAAAGTGTCACCAGGCATTTTGTCAAAGAAGTTATGCAAATGACAAGCACATGAAAACAAAAATTCAGTGTCACTAGTACTTAGAAAAGTACAGATTAAGTCCATGTCGGGATGCTACTACTACCACTGAAAATGGATAAAACAAGATTGACCATAACAAATCATGGTGAGAATGTGGAGAAACTGATACTCATCCACATCTGGTGGGAACATGAAATGGTGCAACTATTTCAGAAGACATCTTTTTGCAACTTCTTAAAACGTTTAAAAGATTCAGGAAAAGTTAAGTGATTCAGTCTTTCCATTCCAAAGATTTACCAAAAAGAAATAAAAACAGGTGTTCATATAAAGACTTGTGAACAAATGTTCGTTGTACCCCAAAAATGACAACCAAGAGCATATCTACCAGAAGGTCAACAGGTAAATGGCGACATCTCCATACAGTAGAATACAGCTCAGCAATAAAAAGTAAATGATCTTTGAACACAACTGTTTGCAGTCTCACTGTTTCAATGTATACTTTGTATGCTTTGATACTGTGACTTGAGCAACTGTCTCTAGGATGATAATTGTAATCTATTAACTAACTGGTGATTTCTTACTGTTTTTTTTTTTTGCAGTTCTGTATTAATTGTACCCTTACACTGCTTTGTTTTGTTTTGCTTTTTCTCTTTTTCCTTTTCAATAAAATTTTTTAAAAAAGTAAATGATCTGATGATACACTCAACAAGTATGAACTTCAGCATCGCTGTAAGTGAAAGGAGCCAAACAAAAACCAATTCATTCTGTATAATCGCATTTATATGAAACTCTAGAGAATATAATCTAAGGTCGTGGCAAATAACAACTAAGAGATTGCCTGACTTTTCCTTTAAGAAAAGAAAATCCAGGGAGTAGAAAGGAGAGTAAATATAGACAAAAGGACTTTTTCATGGGTAATGCATGCATATGTGCACTGTCTTTGTGGATAATGAACACACTCACCATCTTTATGGCAGTGCTGCTATGAATCTATATTATGTCATATGGTATCAAGTTGTCTACTTTATGTGTAATTTAATGTCACTGTGCATTTATAATAGAAATTATACTTCATTAAGTCTACTCTTTAAAAAATGTATAAAGATATACATCACTAAAATGAATTTTATTTGAAGGCAAGTCAATTATAATATAAATTAATATTTATTGACCCTTTCCTCCAGGAAGTTTAATATAGCTTATTGTATTTAATCATCATAACATAGGTACTACTGTCCCCATCTGATAGATAACAAACCAAAATTTAAACCAGTAACCTTCTCAGTATCAAATAGCTTATGTTGTAGCAATTTACTCATCAATTGAAAAATCCAAGCACACTCTTTTCAATATACTTTGTTTCACCAAAAATCTTCCTTTAAGAAGTGGTTATTATGTTAACTTAATATACATCCTAAAATGCACAAGCCTTTCAATGGCTAGAAGATAAATTTAAATCCCAACGTCTGTAATCAAATCCATCTCTTAGAAGTACTTGTCATTATGTAAGAGTTCTACAGGTAGATAAATGTTATAAAGAAATTTGCTGGTAATTACAACTACTTAGGAAAAAAATTGTCTTTCTTATAAAGCAACAAATTAGTTTTATTTCCCTATAAGATACTGAGTGGTAAAACATAACTGGATATTCACACACAAGACAATGAAGTTACACCGCTGCATCATGCCATGTACAAAAATTAACTCAGGATGTACCAAACCTAATGTAGCAGGTAAAACTACATTAACTCTTAGAGGAAACTGTAGTACTAAATCTTCATGAATCCCAATTTAGCAATGGATTCTTGATATACACTGAAGCCCATCTTATGGGAATATCACAACCTAAAGTCCCTACGTGCAGCAAATTGTTACAGTGGAATTTGTTACTATTTGTAGTTCTTTAGGAAAAAATGAATGACTGTCTTATGACGCAGTGAGTTAATTAGCTTCCTATATAAAATACTTCCCGTGTAAGAAATTGGCAAACAATTCAGAATATGTACTACATAATCTTTGATTTACTGGAGGTTCAAACTAGAGGATTTATACAATCTCTTTCTGTTTCTCCTTTCTAATCCATTCTGTTACATCAGTCACAGAAAAGCAAACTGCAGAAATTTTCAGACAAGTGAGTAGATGATTCCAAATTATAGGAAGTTAGCAAACCACTCCATGTGTTGATGTATTGTTTTATATAAAGAAATGAGACTGTTTTTCTAAAAACTCAATTAGGGACCTTGGCCTGCTCAGCCACGTGCTTCCTGCATGATTCCAGCTACCAGTGAGGAATGTCATGCCCCCCTGGGACCTTGGCCCACACCCAGCGGACGCCCAGACCCAGGACATCTACTGGCCCCTTGGGGACACTCCCTACCTCCTGGGCCTAATACTGCTGTTGATCTTCAGCTCCAACCTTTCTCCCAGGACTACAGCGGATTAACTGTGCTAGCCTGAAGGGAGATTCAGTAACTGCCTCACCCAAACAGAAGATCTCAGCAGGCTCCTGTCAGTGTGGTGAGTATGCCCCTAAAATAGAGGTGTACAGGGGGTAAATAGGGCCAGTAGTAAGGTTCCATCCTACTGACTATAAGACCTTGCTGAGTCTGACAAGAGTGTAGATGATCCCTTCCTGCCCACAGACAACATCAAGCAGGATGAGGAGTGTGCCAAGGACTCCCTCAACTTGGAAAGAATCAAAAGGGCTTATGAGACATACAGGCACACAATAGGACACAATAAGGCCCCAGCTGACAAAACACTATAGACAGGGAGATTTGGTGACATGAAATAATCTGAAGATAAAGTAATAGTAGGAATAAAAAGTTGACCTACATCAATGCTACTAGGCTTGTCAGCCCAGAAAGAATATAGGACTGACTCAACAGGCCCTGCAGTAGGAAGTCAGTTGACTGGCCCACCTATTCATTGAGGGACCCCGCAATTAGACAAACATCAACGTCACATTAGGACCCCAAGATGCACACTAACAACAGGTAACACTAGTGTAATTAAAGGACCAAATATTAACTCAAAAGGGGAAAATGGCAAAATGAAAAAGCAAAATGCAATCTCAAACATCTAGTCCACCAGGAGCAAGTACAGGAGATATTGAAATAGAGGGCTTCAAAAGTAACATACTAGAAATTGCTGAAAAGATAGTGAGTGAAATAAAAAAAAAACAGCTCCATGAGGCTGTAGAGGAAATCAAATTAGAAGTGCTCTCCCATGTAAAGATAGAAATAACAAACTTAGTAAAGGAGTTGCTGAGAACAGCTAAAGAAGAAATACAGAAAAAAGTACAGGAACATGGGAAAGTGATTGAAACCTTGAATGAACACTACAGAAAACAAGCAGAATTCATGGAAAAAACTCAAAGAGACATCTAAGAAACAAAAAATTCTATTCAAGGCTGGCAAAACCATTTAAATGAAGCTGAGGATAGGATTTCGGACTTTGAGGACAGGATCGCAATTAGTGATCAAATAACAAAGCAGCATGAAGTGACTACCCAGAAGATTCAAGATGATGCCAAGAGCAATAATATAAGACTAATAGGCATCAGTGAAGATGCAGGAGTCAATGCAAATGACGTATCTAAAATATTCACAGAAGTAATAGCAGGAAGTTTCCCAAATGTGGGGAAAAATTTGATATGCATATAAGTGAGGCATATAGAACACCAAACAGTCACAACCAATGTAAATCTACATCCAGACATATAATAATTAAGATCTCAGACATACAGCATAAAAACAATATTAAAACTGTTAGAGAAAAGACACAACTCACCTATTAAGGAAAGCCCATTAGAATCACAGAAGACTTTTCAACTCAAACCCTCAAGTCAAGAGGAACTTGGACAGAGGTATTTCAAGACCTGAAAGAAAACAACTTTGAACCCAGACAGATACACCCAGAAAAACTTTCATTCAGATTTAATGGAGAAACAAGATACTTCCATGACAAAGAACAGCTGAAAAAATTCACATCCACCAAACCAACCCTAGAAAGAGGATTGAAAGACATAGTAGGTAGAGATAAAAATGACCACAATCCCCAGAACAACAAGAAAAAGAAACCACAAGGTAGGAAAAGCAATTAAACAAGAATGGAAAGCAGAAGGCAAACAACTGGAACATAACATGAGAAAGCTAAACCAGTACATGTCGGTGATACCCATAAATGTGAATGACCTATCAAAAGAAACAGGTTAGGGGCTGAGGATTTAGCCCAACGGCATAAGCGCCTGCCTTGCAAGTGCATGGTCATGAGTTAAATCCCTGGAACCAATAAAAAAAAAAAAAAAAAAGAAGAAGAAACAGGTTAACAGAATTGATCAAGAAACATGATCCCACAATATGCTGTATAAAAGAAACACAACTGACCCAAAAGGAAACTCATAGATTAAAAGCCAAAGGATGGAAAACAGTATTCCATGCATCAAGAACCCAGAAAAAAGCAGGGGTAACTATTTTATTTGCAGACAACATGAACTTCAAACCTAAAATGATTAAAAGAGATAAAGAAGGTCACTACATACTCATTAGTGGAAAAATTCAAGAGGAAGAACTAACAATTATAAATTTATATGCACCAAATACAGGAGTACTCAACCATATAAGACAAATACTAAAGGGCAAGAAAAACCAAATACACAAGAACACAATTATAACAGGGATCTTATACCCCATTGTAACAACGAGATAGATCAACTGGACAAAAAGTTAGCAAATAAATAATAAAACTGTATTATACCTGTGAGCAATTGGACTTAGTAGATGTTTACAGAGTGTTCCATCCAATCACATCAGAATACACATCTTCTCAGCTGTGGAATGGGACAGTCTCCAAAATAGACCATATTTTATCCTATAAAACATCCTTAAGTAACCGCAAAGGTATTGAAGTTATCCCATGCGTAATTTCTGACCATAGCACACTGAAACTAGAAATTAATAGCAAAGAAATGGCAAAACCTGCATAAATACATGGAAATTAAATAACAACCTTTTGAACAACCAGTGGGCTACAGATGAAATTAAAGAAGAAATAAAGCAATATCTACAATTCAGTGAAAATGCAGAAACAACATACTGTAATCTGTAAGATGCAATGAAAGTGGTCTTGAGAAGGAAATATATAGCAATAAATTGTCTTATCAAGAAAACAGAACAAGCACATATAAACAACCTAATGCTTGATCTCAAGCTTCTAAAAAAAGAAGAGCAAGTTAAACTCAAAGCTCTAGAAGAGAGGAAATTGTAAACATTACAGCAGAAATCATGCAATTAAAACTAAAAAAATACGAAGAATTAATGAATCAAAAAGCTGCTTTTTTTGAGAGAAAAACAAATTGACAAACCTCTAGCTAACCTTATAAAGAAAAAGAAAGATAAAAACCCAAATTCATGCAATAAGGACTGAAATGAGGGAAATTACTACAGATCCCATGGAAATTCAAAAGATCATGAATACCTACTTTGAAAATCTCTACTCACATAGAGTGGAAAACACACAGGAAGTGGACAGATTTCTAGAAACATACGAACTACCAAAGCACAACAAAAAAGATACAGCAATTTTGAATAACCCAATATCAGTTATTGAAATTGACAGTGTAATTAAAAATTTACCAACAGAGAAAAGCCCAGGTCCTGATGGATTCACTGCTGAATTCTACAAAAAATTTAGAGAAAATTTAATGCCAATATTCTTTAAACTCTTCAATGAAATTGAAAAGGAAGCAATCCTCCCTAAATCATTCCTGGAAGCAAGTATTACTCTCATAAGACAGAGAAAGACCCAACCAAAAAGAACTATAGGCCAGTCTCACTAATGAACATTGATGCAAAGATTCTGAATAAAATACCAGCAAATAGAATGCATCAAATCATTAAGAGGATTAGACATCATGACCAAGAGGGATTCATTCCAGGAATGTAGGGATGGTTTAATATACACAGGTCAATAAATGTAACATACCACATTAACAGAGCCAAATACAAAAACCACATGGTCAGCTCAGAATGACCATGCAGAAAAAACTTTCAATAAAGTCCAACACCTGTTCATGATAAAAAAAAAAAAACTTCAGAAACTTGAAATACACAGTGTCTACCTCAATCTTACAAAGGCCATCTATGACAAACCAACAGCCAACATTATACTAAATGGACAAAAACTGAAAGCTTCCACTTTAAAATCTGGAACAAGACAAGGATGTCCACTCTCACCACTCCTATTCAATATAGCTCTGGAAACACTAGCCAGGGAAATCAGACAAGAGAGAGAAATAAAGGAATAAAGACAAGAAAGGAAGAAGTTAATTATCACTATTTGCAGATGACATGATACTCTATATAGAAGATCCAAAAACTTCATTAAAAGACTACTAGAGGTAATAAATTCAGCAGTGTAGCTGGATACAAAGTCAGCACTTAAAAATCAATAGCATTCCTGTACACAAACAAAAAAACTCACTGAGAGAGAAATTATGGAAATATTGCTCTTCACAACAGCATCTAAAAAAATGAAATACTTAGGAATCAACCTAACTAAGAATGTAAAAGACCTACATGCTGAAATTATGCTATGCTAAAAAAAAGGAGATTAAAGAAGATATTCGAAAATGGAAGAATATTCCTTGCTCTTGGCTAGGAAGAACCAACATTGTGAAAATGGCCATACTGCCAAAACTTACACAGATTTAATGCAATACCATTAACATACCTCACAGATCTACAGAAAACACTCTTAAAATTCATTTGGAAACAGAAAAAACATATAATAGCAAAGGCAATTCTGAGCAACAAAGGCAAGGCAGGAGACATCTCAATTCCTGACTTGAAAAACTATACTACAAAGCCACAGTGATAAAATCAGCATGGTACTGACAAAGATATAGACCTGAGGATCAATGGAACAGATTAGAAGTTGCAAGCACAACTACAAAGACATTCAGCCACCTGATATTTGACAAAGGAGCTAAAATGCTCACTGGAAGAAGGATAGCCTCTTTAATAAATAGTGTTGGAAAAACTGGCTCTCCACATACTGAAAGCTGAAACTAGATCCATGCCTATCACCAGGCACAAAGCTAAAGTCTAAATGGATCAAACACCTAAATATTAAAACAGAAACACTAAATCTACTGGAAGACAAGGTAGGCAGAGGTCTTGGAGACATAGGGTCGGGTAGGCAGAGAATTCATGAACAAAACACAAACTTCATGGGAAACACTTCAAAGAAATCAACAACTGGCATCTCATATTACTGAAAAGTTTCTGTACTTCAAAAGAAATCACCACAGAATGGGAAAGAATTATAGCCAGCAACCCCTCAAACAAAGGACTTATATCCAGAACATATAAAGAATTGAAAAATATCAAGCCCCCAAATTCAAAGACCCTTTCCAAAAATGGGCATCTGAGATGAACACACAGTTCTCAAATGAAGATATACAAATGGCAAATAAATACATGAAGAAATGTTCACCATCACAGATTAATTTGAGA